TACGGCGCTGAAAGCTTTGTTTAAGCTGTCAGTGCTGTCGTCCACATGTATATTGAAGTCTCCAGCTATAACTATGTTTTCCCATTCCAAAACTAGGTTTGAAATGAAGTCAGAGAATTCTGTTAGGAACTCGCTGTAAGGACCAGGAGGTCGGTATAAAACTATAAATAGTACTGCTTTTTGTTTTCTCCACCCAGGACAGGTGATTGAAAGTGTTAAGTTTTCAAACGAGTGAAAAGCGTTGTTGGTTTTGGGACTAAGAACCAAGTTGGTGTGTGATATAATCGCAACACCACCGCCGCGACCTGTAGCTCTGGCTTTCTGGTAGTTAACATGCGTCGGAGGAGTGCACTCATTCAATCTAACGTACTCGTCCTGTTGGAGCCAAGTCTCCGAGAGCGCTAACAGATCCAAGCCCTTGTCTATAATAAGTTCGTTTATGAGAAGCGATTTAGACGAGATTGATCTGACGTTCATTAAACCACATTTAACAACCCTACCGCTAGAACTATTTCTGTCTGTCTGAACTTTTATTAAGTTACTGTGTCTGACACCTAGGTCAGATTTCCTCGCATATAGTGCTTTAGACTTCAAGCGGGGAACACACACAGTTTCAATCTGACTAGGTTCTGAGGCTAGTAACTGAGCACACACAGGCACACACACACATGCACACACAGTTTCAATCTGACTAGCCTCTGAGGCTAGTAACTGAACAGATGGGGGCTCAGAGGTTGTGGCAGAGCAGCTCTGCACCCGGGCCTCAGTTCTGCACCGTCATTTGAGCCGAGCAGAACAGTTTAGTATGTGAGGAAGTTGTTGATGTTGTCAATATGTTGCAGCGGCTCGGGACCCCCTGGACGCTCCGGAGGACCCTCTCCCTGACTACTCGTCAGACGAGGAGGACGCAGGTGAGTTGCAGGTAGGTAGGGCTTTTCTCCTCATGCGTGGCCGGGACTTGCATGAGTCTTCTGATGAAGAGGATGAAGAGGAGGAGGACTGGGACGACGCAGACTCTGGCTACGACAGTCTCTCCGAGGAGGACGTCAGCGAAGAGGAAGACGAGGACAGTGAAGAGGACGACCAGCGTCTTCCTCCAGAGGACTTCTGGGCTGGCCTGCCCCCGTGGGATCCTCCTGCTCCAGCTGTGGGGGTTCCTCAGCAGCGAGCAGTGAGTCCCTCTCCTGTGCCCTGTCCCGTCTTTGAAGAGGAGCGTCGTCCAGGGAGGTCCAGGCGCCGCAGGGATGAAGATGAAGAGGAAGAGCCCATCTCCAAGAGGCCACGCTGCTCCTACTCTGAGGACATCGAGGAGGAGCCCACCCCCTCCACCTCTACTGGGACGTCCGGGGGCTTCGTCCACTACTTCCAGCAGCGCCACCTGCTCCAAGACTCAGACGAGGACTGAAGCTCAGACTGAGACTGGAGACAACAGCAGCTGGAGGAAGAGGAGGAGAGAAGGCCACTCCTGTTTCTACAGCACTTTGACACCAGAGGAGGTCACAAAGTGCTTCACATGGGACACACGCTACACCGTCAGCAGCCCATTTCTCCTCTGGACATTTATTTCTTTCTTGATTTATTTATTGGGGCAAAATGTTGCCATTTACCTTGAGCCAAAAAAACAAAAAAAAACAAAAAAAACATTTACCTCGCACAAGGGTTTTCAGCCTTTTGACAGATGTGTATCAAACACAAAGCATGTATTCATTCATTAGAACACAAAAGGATATATGATGTAATAAGGATATATGATTTAATACTGAGTAGTTACAGTGATGAAAGACACAGATAAACCCTTTCAGAGGACACTTTGAAAGGCCTGGAGAGCCACTGGTCGCTCCGCACTATAGGTTTAAGACCCTTGTTCTAGGATCAGTAATAGTTAGTTTCAAAAGAGGAGAAGGCAAAGAACACTATGTAGGACTTCCATAAAGTTGAAATCCTGACAAGTCTCCAGAGCAGCAGCACATTGAGTATGAGCGGTAAGTCCACAGATGATCCTCATGTGAGCAGAGGTCTCACTCTGTCCTCCATAGTACTATTTGCTTTCTCCTGTGGGGAGTCGCCCAATAACCAGCCCTTTGAACTTTATGGAAATAAAGTTTGTTGATTGATTTATTGATGGTTTCTGGTGCGATACCCACTGCTTTGATGTGCATTTTTAAATCAAAGGTCAGGAAAACTATGTAGGAACATATTAGACACAGATCAACTTTGACAAAAATCACTCAATGACACAATGACTTGATAGTATTTGAGAATGGATAAAATAAGAGCTTAAGCTGACTCTAGTGTGGTTTCCTGCATAGTGCGCCTGGCCTTGTGTTCACTCTAGAGCAGGGATTTCCAAGATGGGGTCTGTGGGCCACATTGGTCAGTCTGAGGGTCTAATATGGCCTTTGAAGGGTTCAGGACATTGGTCCAAACCAGTCTGAATCCAGATTGAATGTTTGGCCATCCCTGCTCTAGAATTGAGGAGGATCAGCAGGAGAGGAGGCGGAGTACCATCTACAAGGTTGGTGCTGTGATCCCTCCTCCTTCCAATGATTCAGCTTTATCCATTGCTGGGTTGCGAGAGCAGCTGTCTAAACACAGACGCCCAGACTTCCCTATCCACACACATTTCCTCCAGCTCATCCGGGGGAATCCCGAGGCCTTCCCAGGCTAGCTGAGAGACATAGGCCCTACAGTGTGTCCTGGGTCTTCCCCTGGGTCTCCTCCCAGGGGGACATGCTCTGAACACCTCCTCAAGGAGGCGTCCAGGAGGCCTCTGAAACAGATGAGCCACTTCAACTGGCTCCTCTTGACATGGAGAAGCAGGGGCTCTACTTTGAGCTCCTCCCAACAAGTGACTGAGCTCCTCGCACTCTCCAGGGGAGGGACGCAGAGGAAACTCATTTCGAACACCTGTGATCTCGTCCTTTCGGTCATTACCCAAAGCTCATGACCAGAGGCTGTTCACGAGTGAGCCTCTCGGGACCCCGAGATACTTGAACTCCTACACTAGAGGAAGGACCTCTGCACCTGGAGAGGGCGAGGCGCCTTTTTCTGGTCGAGCCCCATGGCCTCAGATTTGGAGATGCTGATCTTTATCTCAGCCGCTTCACACTCGGCTGCAAACCGTCCCAGTGCATGTTGAAGGTCCTGGTTTGTTGGAACCAGCAGGACAACATCGTCCGCAAACAGCAGAGACGAAATCCTACGGTCCCCAAATATGTTATTGATTTTATTTATTCCTTTTTTCTTCTTTGTATTTTTTTTTATTCATTTGATTTCATTTTGGTTTGACATGGACATTGTGGTCAGACATATTTACCAAACTAAGCTGATGTTATGCATGTAGACTATAACTAAAAGGCAAATACACTTTTACAACATTCTGTCCCTGTGGGCTTTTCTACACTCACTTTAAAACCTTCATGAATACAATAATAAAGGTACAATGTCTCTCCTTCATTTCCTCACATACACAAGTCATATTTGACTGTATTTAACAGTTTGTCAAAGGACAAAGAGTGGGTCTTAAACCCATGTGCTCTTGTGTGAATGTACAGCCTTCAACAGGATTTGGAGGCTGTGACTTTAGATTCCTCGGCCAAAGGTAAGACATGTACAATTGTTTGGGCTGAGGACAGAGACAAGACACTTCCAGCTTGGACAGCACTGAGAGAGACACACATCACCACACGAGGTAGGAGTCTGTGTTAAAGTCATGGTACAGTCATTGTGTGTATGAGCACATGAGGAACACACACTGATAGCTTTGACTGACTGTGTCATTATCAAAGTCTTCAGTTTGTTTCCAGATTTGTGTTCCAGTTGGAGACAGGAGTCCGCTGCATCTATCATGTCCCGGTGAGTCGTCTCCAAATAAGTAATGAACTTATGAATGAAAGGATCAGTCTGCTCCTACTGTTCACAGATGGATGTGTCGCTGATGGAGCTGTCCGTGGTATCAACCACACTACTGCACTGAAGCACCACGAGAGACCACCCTGATCCTAATGAGCTGAATGAACTAGTTTTCATTACAGGAACTCAAGCTCAGTGTTGGAAAAGTCATGGTCCTCTACAACTGCAATGACTTTTGTACTTCCAGCTCCATCCACATATAGTCCAAAGAACACACATCCACATTTGTAAGTCAATATCTGAGATCAGGATTGTTCAGTCTGTAACTGGATATTAGAATGTAAGAGACACCAAACTTGTATTTGACCAAATATAGGATCTATTCTTCTGAGAGTGACCTGTGGATGCTGCAGTCCACATCAGAGGAAGAGAGGAACCTGCCACAAAGAGACCAGACTCATCCCAAGTGAGAGGCCTTCAGTGCTCTTCTGAAAACGCTCTTATAACACTTTGGTTTTGTTCAGGAAAGAAACTTGAGAGAGGTCTCCAGAAAACTGAGGATTTACAACAAGATGACAACAGAATCATTCTCCTGTTTCACTCTGACGCTGTTGTAGTGAAGAGGGAGCAGCGTCTACAGTCAGAGCTGGAGCAGACTGTCGTGGTGAAGAGGGAGCAGCGTCTAAAGTGAAAGCTCAGGATTTACTGCTCTGTGTATGTTCCCACCAAGAGCTTTGGAAAATGGCTCAAAGGACAAGATGGCAGATACAGGGCTCTAAATTAGTTTGCTTCTGACTAGAGCCACTGCTCCTTCACGTCAAGAAGAAGCGTTAGAGGTGATCAGAGGATTTAGCACAGTTCTGTTGCATTCTCCAACCAGCAACAATACTCTCAATGCTCTTTTCTACTGGTCCTTTGTCGTCAGATGCAGATGTTTAAAGATGCAGAACCCAGAGCCAGGAGCACGTGGCCTTGGACCTGTAAGACGTTCTCCAGTGCCTTTTCATCTGGCAGACTATGATGTGAGTGGAGCGGGGGCCCAGAGCCACTTTTAGAAGACACCCAGAGCAGTGGGGCCTCCACCAGCTCAGCACCACAGACAGCTACACCCCCTGAACCTGACCACAGCCCACAGTTTACCAGTGTAGATAAGACCAGAGCCATGTCTGCTGAGAGCCGCCGGAACTAGGACAAGCTCCAACAGAGGTGAGAGTAAAGTACCTCCAGCAAATCTGTGTGAGGATTTACAACAACATTTCAACAATAACATTCTTGTGTTTTCTTGTGACTGCAGGCGCTGAGGAGCAGTTGGACCAAACAGAGAAACTGACCAAAAGAAATGTGCAGATGAGCCTCACTACGGAACTCAGCCCCTCTGAATACGAGGACAAGGTACTGGACCGGAGGCAGATGTCTTAACCTCTCCAGGTGCTGAGAGCTCCTTCCTCTGGTGATGGAGTTCAAGTGTCTCTGGTCTTGTTCACTGCGAGGGAGGGAGTAGCGTCTGTCGTGATGCTGCCTCTATATGGGACTGTTGTGGTGAAGAGGGAGCTGAGTCTGAGGCTGGGGACGCCTGATCCAGCTTCAGGAGGTCTGTGTGAAGAGGGGAGTCTGGGCCACTCTGCTCAGACTGCTGCCTCTGTGACAAAGTTGAAGAAAATGGATGGACGTGTCCAGTCGTGCCCAGAACAACTGAGGGATGGAGAAAGCTTAACTGAAGACGCACTGAAGAAATCCAGATGTGGTCTTAATAAAATCCAACCATGTCAGATTCAATTGTACTTTCATTTCTTATTTCAGTCATAGTAAGTTTGTGTTGAAGTGTTGTGTTTCTTGTAACCAAAGGAGAACAGTCAAACACTATTATAACTTATTTGTTCCTGGGGCCCCTAAAAAATATTTATTTTTCCTCCATATTTAGTAAAACAATTGCTAAAACTGGTTAACAAAACCTGAAATACAGATGAAACAGGTTAACACACACACGCCAGTTTGTTAAACACGTTGTATTTCTCTTTTCACTGGTATCAGTTCATTTCAGGTATCAGCAGATATTGAAAGCCAAGGTACTGGACGTGGGAAATCTGGATTTATGCATATTGGTTAATAATGATAAGAATAATGATAATGCATCTGTTTATATATGTGTATATATAATATATATGTAGAGCCTTTTAGGACACCCAAAGACAGCATCATTCATTCACTCAATACACGGTGGTGAAAAACTACTACTATAGCCACAGCTGCACACTGACAGAAGCGAGGCAACCAGTATGTGCCATTTGCTACTTCAAACACCACTAACTTTGGATACACACACCAGACTCATTCTAGGCAATGTGGGTGAAGTGTCTTGCCCAAGCACACAGTGACGTAGCCGCCCCAATGTGGCACCTAGTGTTCCCAGAGGTCTCCCATCACAGTTCTAACCAGGCCCTGTCCTGTTTAGCTTCAGAGGTCTGTGGACCCTAAAGGTTAGCACTAAACTAAAGTATAATCACAAAAATATATAGTGTAGAGATTTCATTTCAAATTGAAGCAACTATTGTTAAAGTTCTAACTTCATTCTAACCATGTGCAGAAGCCTGTACTTTTCCATTTAATGTTTTGTCTAACTGAAGGCCAGGCTCCAAGCACACCGTGGCAGCTGCTGATCAGAGGTCTCTGTTTCTCCTGAGTATATTACCACTTGCTGTCTTTAACATCCCTTATTCATGCGTCTACCATCAACAACAAAACATGTCTTCTGTCTAAATTAAAGACACGATCCCAGACTTTGGCTGATTCCTAACAGGTGATGGAGGATGCAGGCATTGTCTGTAACAACTACAGAACAGAAGCCTTTTTTGTTTTTTTACACAAAAATGTTTTTTTTTTTAAGAGAAAACTGAAAAACCTCAAGAGAACCCATGCACCTGGATCAGCACATGGACAATCTGCACAGCCCCTGACTCCAGTCAGGCCTGCTGTGAGCTGCTGAGACATGGACAATACCATCGTCCTCTTTTGCATGGACATCAGTTGGAACAATTGGATTACACAATTTGGACATGATTTGGAACAATCTGGATTTCTGAATTTGGACATAATTTGGACTGAATTGGATTTCTGAATCTGGACACTGAAGCTGAAATGTGTGATTGAAAGACACGTCATAGAAGAATTCATGGCTCGACACAAATGCAGCCTGAAGAAACCAACAGGAGAAGTGGGAGAGACTGTTTTCAAAGCAATATCTGGAACCACCATCGACTGATGAAGTTTGGTATTTTACTGAAGATTGTTGACAAGTTTTATGAAAGATCTGAACATGTTTTAAGAGTTTTTGAAGTATTCCGAGTTCTGAGTTTTTTGAAGTACCGAGTGAAGTACCGAGTTTAAGTATTGAGTTATGATGTTATGTTGATGTTATGTTGCTGTTTATCGATCCTGATGGTCACACGTGAATGTGTGACCAGAGGGGGGAATGTGAGATTTCATATCACTTTGAAGCAACTATTGTTAAAGTTCTAACTTCATTCTTACATATGCAGAAGCCTATACTTTTCCATTTGATGTTTTGTCTATCTGAAGGCCAAGCTACAAGCACACCGTGGCAGCTGCTGACTGTTTCTCCTGAGTATATTACCACATGCTGTCTTTAACATCCCTTGTTTGTGCGTCTACCATCAACAATAAAACATGTCTTCTGTCTGAATTAAAAACACGATCCCAGACTTTGGCTGATTCCTAACAATAGCATTTTGGATCAATATTGCACACTTTGACACCAATTTTCTTTGAATTTCCACATTCAGATTCACATTCACTCAGATTGTGCAAAAAGACAGACGTGTGCAACATGTTGAGGTTAAAAATGTTTAAATTGAAAATATAGTCTGTGCCGGAAATAATTATGAACCAAAAAAGTGGCAATAGCAGTGCTGGTTTTTCAGTCCTAGTGCAGGTCATTAGTGACTTATTGTACAGTCTGACAGCAGTGGGGAGGAAGGCCTTGCGGTAGCCTCGTTGGGGTGCCTAAGTCTTCCACTGAAGGAGCTCCTCAGCTCCTCTACAGTCCTGTGCAGTGGGAGGTGTTGTTCATGATGGAGGTGGCTTTGACTAGCACCTCCTGTCCCTCACCTCCTCCACAGAGTCCAGGGAGCAGCCCAGAGTGGAGCACCGCGGTGAAGTTAGTTTGAAGTTGGATATCCGACAGACATTCAACGGTCTTTCCCTCTCGACAAACCTCTCCTTCACTCTGGGTACATTGCGACTCAAAAGCCGCCGCAACATTTAAGTGCACCCGTACTACAGACAGTACGGTAAACACACGGAGACATGTACGCTGGTATTTTATTATTGAGTGTTTGGTTTTAAATTTTAAATGAATAAAAAATACTTAAAACATTTAAATGACAAAAGAAGAGGTGTACCTCCTGCAGCTAGTGAAGACTATGATCCTGACTAATTTGGAGTCAATAGATCACATGACCTAGAAGCTATTGAGCTAAAATGCTAATATTTACGTATACAAATTAATTAAAAATACTTAAAACATTTAAATGACAAAAGAAGAGGTGTACCTCCTGCAGCTAGTGAAGGACTATGATCCTAAACTGATTTGGAGTCAATAAGATCACATATGGATAGCACGTTATTTAGAACCGTGCATGGTGCAGCCGGGGGCCCACCCTCGAGCCAGGCCTGGGGTTGGGGCTCAAATGCGAGCGTCTGGTGGCCAGGCCTTAGCCCACGGGGCCGGCCGGGCTCAACCCGATGGGATGACGTGGGCAGGCCCTCCTGGGACCCAACACCCACAGAGGGATCCGTGGTGGAGAGGTGTTGAGAGGACTCGGCAGCAGTCAAAAGCGGAGACCTTACTTGGGCGGAAGAAGCCCGAGCTCGTGGGGGAGGTTGAGCGATACCGACTAGAGGTAGTTGGCCTCACCTCCACACACAGCTTGGGCTCTGGAACCCAAATCCTTGAGAGGGGTTGGACGCTCTACTTTTCTGGTGTTTCGCGCGGGGAGAGGCGGTGAGCGGGGGTGACGATTCTCATTGCCCCCCATCTCAGCCGCCACGTGTTGGAGTTCTCCCACAGAGGCGGAGGGACGCGAGAGGGTCGCATCCCTCCGCCTCTGGGTGGGAGACAAGTCTTTCACTGTTGGGAGAGACTTGTGCAGTGCAGAGTACTCGCAGTGCAGAGTACCCAGCCTTCTTGGAGTCCTTGGGAGGGGTACTGGACTCCATTATTCGACACTCTACAACACTCAGATCTATGTCTCACTGACTGCAGGAGAACATGGACCAGTGGACTCACTCCTTCACTGTATCCAACAGATCAGTGAGTGGATGCAAAACAACTTCCTTCAGCTAAACGCAGACAAAACTGAAATGATTGTCTTTGTTCCCCAGAAACAAAGAGAGAGCGTCATCTGTCACCTCCAGTCTCTCTCCCTAAAACCTTCAAACAAGGTCAGAAATCTAGGGGTAATACTGGACTCAGACTTAAATTTTAATAGCCACATTAAATCAGTTACATCAGCAGCTTTTTACCACCTAAAAAACATTGCCAGGATCAAAAACATAGTGTCTAAAGCAGACTTGGAGATTCTTATCCATGCATTTGTCTCCAGTAGGTTAGACTACTGCAATGGCCTGCTCACAGGTCTGTCCAAACAGGCTGTAAAACAGCTGCAGTACATTCAAAATGCAGCAGCTCGAGTCCTGACTAGAACCAGGAAGTACGACCACATTAGTCCGGTCCTCAGGTCTCTGCACTGGCTTCCTGTGGCTCAGAGAATAGACTTTAAAACAGCTCTGCTTGTGTACAAGTCTCTCCATGGCCTCGCACCAAAATATATTAGTGACATGTTAGTCCCATATGAACCAGCCCGGACTCTGAGGAGCACAGGGACTGGACTCCTGTTAGTGTCCAGAGTCAGAACTAAACATGGGGAGGCTGCTTTTCAGATTCATGCTGCTAAAATCTGGAACAATCTTCCTGAAGATGTGAGACAGGCCTCCTCTCTGACAATGTTTAAAACCAGGTTAAAAACAGTTCTGTTTAGCTGTGCATACAACTGAGGGATTTTATATGTTTATCTTTCTTTTTAATGTACTGTGATTATTTATGATTTTAATGCTTTCTTGTTTTGTTCAGCACTTTGAGTTGCCTCATGTATGAAATTGTGCTTTACAAATAAACTTGCCTTGCATTACCTATTCTCCTGGGGGACTTCAACACCCATGTGGGAAATGCCAGTGACACTTTAGAGAGGGGTGATTGGGAAAAACGGCCCCCCTGATCTGAACCCGAGCGGTGTTCAGTTGTTGGACTTCTGTGCTAGTCACAGTTTGTCCATCACGAACACCATGTTCGAGCACAAGGGTGTCCACCAGTGCACGTGGCACCAGGACACCCTAGGCCAGAGGTCGATGATCGACTTCGTTGTTGTATCATCTGACCTTCGACCTTGTGTCTCAGACACTCGGGTGAAGAGAGGGGCGGAGCTGTCAACCGATCACCACCTGGTTGTGAGTTGGATCCGCTGGCAGGGGAGGAAGCCGGTCAGACCTGGCAGACCCAAGCGTGTAGTGAGGGTCTGCTGGGAACGTCTCGCTGAGCCCCCTGTCAGACGGACTTTCAACTCACCCCTCCGGGAGAGCTTCTCCCAGGTCCCGGCGGAGGAGGGACCAGTCTGAGTGGACCATGTTCTCTTCCTCGATCGCCGATGCGGCGGCTTGTAGCTGTGGTTGCAAGGTCTCTGGTGCTGGTCCCGGCGGCAACCCCGAACCCGGTGGTGGACACCGGCAGTAAGGGATGCCGTCAGGCTGAAGGAGTCCTATCGAGCCATGATGGTTTGTGGGACTCCTGAGGCAGCTGTCCAGTACCGACAGGCCAAGCGTACCGCGGTCCGGGCTGTTGCAGAGGCAAAAACCAGGGACTGGGAAGAGTTCGGAGAGTCCATGGAGCATGACAATCGGTCGGCCTCGAAGAGATTCTGGCAAACCGTCCGGCGCCTCAGGAGGGGGAAGCAGTGCTTTGCCAACACCGTGTAGCTCTCGATTTATCGGTCAATCTTTGTTCCCTCCCTCACCTATGGTCATGAGCTTTGGGTAATAACTGAAAGCTGTAATGACACGGATACAAGCGGTCGAAATGAGTTTCCTCCGCAGAGTGGCTGGGCGCTCCCTAAGAGATAGGGTGAGGAGCTCGGAGTAGAGCCGCTGCTTCTCCACGTCGAGAGGAACCAGTTGAGGTGGCTCGGGCATCTGTTCAGGATGCCTCCTGGATGCCTGTTCCGGGCACATCCCACATCTCAAAACCATGTCTTGACTTTTGCTCTGTCTGAATCAACCACCATTTTTGGGAATAATCAACCAAGCTGGATGCACAGGATCCCAGTATGTCTGAGTCTGATTTCCCATAGTAGTCGCAAATCTCTTTTAGATTAGTTTTCAATGTATTTTAAATAGTTGCTTTTGGAGACTCACCCCCGAGGCTTCCCTTTCCACCTTTACCGTAAGTAACATCATAAAGGAGCCACCCGCTGTTAATGTGCGGACCACTTTACCGCGGTCTTTGAAAAGCCGGGCCACTTTGCCGCGTTAGGAGACAGTGAGAAAGACAGTGAGAAAGACAGCGAGAAAGACAGCGAGAAAGACAGTGGGGGAGACAGTGGGGGTGGAGCCGAGCCGTTCCAGAACAATAGGCCTGCATAGATGGCAGAGATAAGAGGCTGTTTTCTGCGGGGGGGACGGGTTCAGACCAGACCGGGGTGGAGCTACCTCAGACCGGGAAGGAGGCTTGCATTTCCCACAACAGAAGAGAAAGTAAAACTCCCCACACATAGTGATCTGACTGTTTAACTCATTGACTGCCATTGACGTGTTAACACGTCAAACTAAATAGTAACGTTGTCTGCCAATGACGTGTTAACACGTCAATTGCGTTTCCCGCTATTTTTACGTTCCCAGCTGTCCATTGAATCTAATATGTGGAGATTGGCTTGAGGCAATACTTTATGGAGCCAGCAGATGGCAGCATTGCGCTATGAATGGTTTGAACACAGCTAGATGCACTGTTTGTGGCCCTTTTTTCTCAGCTTTCTGGTGATTTCAATAAAACTTCCCTCTACTCAACTGGGGATTACAGAAGAACTAAACAAGATAGAAACAAAATTCTTTTTGCTGGTGAGAGTAGACAGCCCATTCTTTCAGAATCTAGTTTTAGATTTCAGATAGTCAAAGTACACAATATTCTGTGGGTCTTGAAAAATCAGTAAAAACCACCAGAAACGGCTGGCAATATGGGAGTACCTGTTTTGAAATGGGCTGGCAGTCAATGAGTTAACGTGGTCCCGAGAACAAAGACCAAAGCAGGTAAGTTGCCTTGTTCAACTCTACGTTTAGTTTTTATAAAGTTTTTAGACTTTTTGCGAAAAGGTAAACCACGTTTGGACTCACGAAAGAGTTTAGTAATGAGTCGTGGTAGATTTTCGCTGGTTGGTGTTTTGTTCATTGAATCATGTATAATCTGACTTAACATACACAGCAAAGATACTTTATATGTATAGCACAGGTCATACACAAGGCAAGAAATCTAGATAGAAGCATTGTAATCACGGCATAAACAATCACAGGACATTAAAAAGATACACCCAGATGTACAGAAAACAGAAGTGTTTTTAACCTGGACTTGAACATTGTCAGAGTAGAAGCAGCAGGAGGCCAGTCCCTGTGCTCATCAGTCATTTACTGTAATGTTTACTGTACTTCTCTTTACTGGAAGAGGCAGTACAAACACTGACCAAAGATGGATCCAGCCTGGATGAACTATTGGTCACAGTTAAATGTACTATACCTCAGTGCATCTACAGTATGTGTGTTAACGACTTTCATTTTAATAATAATAATAATAATAATAATAATAATTATTATTATTATATTGCATCAGTTTTAAATAGCGCTTTTTTTTAAACATTCGTAGAAACTTCACATGTCATTATTCATTCATTCCATACACGGTAGTGATAAACTACTGTTGTAGCCACAGCTGCCCTGGGGCACCCTGACTGAAGTGAAGCAACCAGTATGTGCCATCGGCCCCTCTGACCAGCACCGAAAATTCACACGCACACACACATCCGCTAGACTCATTCTAGGCAATGTGGGTGAAGTGTCTTGCCTAAGGACACAACAGCAGTTTGGCACTTTACAGCCGCAGCCGCCACACTGTGGCACCTGGTGTTCCCAGAGGTTAAGTGTCTTGCCAAGGACACAACAACTGCAGACATCAGTAGGAGTTGGTGGAGAAAGTCTTGTGGTGGCTCGAACCCATGACCTTCAGAGTTCTTTTTAGGTTATCGTTGATATCAACTACAACAATGAAGTCACATTTTGTTCTTTTTGTGTTTTGTTTGGTATTTGGTTGACTAAAACTTTATATAGATTTCTTTTCCATCCACCCATCCATTTTCTTTCACTTTATCTCCCGAGGCAAAAGTCTAAACTTCCTGAGGCGTGCCCAGGCCAGCTGAGAGACGGTCCTTCCAGTGAGTGTGTCCTGGGTCTTCCCCTTGTCTCCTCCTGGTGAGACATGCCCAGAACTCCGCCTTCAGGAGGCATCCCAAACAGAGGTGCCCGAGCCACCACAAAGTTGGCTTCACTCCAGTGGAGCAGCAGCGGCTCTGTGGCCTACCCACAAATGCAATTATTTAATTGTGAGAAATGGAGAGGGGACACTGCAGTGGTTAGCACTTGTGTTCCTCATCAAGGAGGTCCTGGGTTTGCATGTTCTCCCTGTGTCTGCGTAGTTTTCCTCCAGATGCTTCGATTTCCCCTACCCCTAAAAACATGTGCAATAGTTCAGGGTGAGATATAAACTCTGTCATTGTAAAAACTCTATTTCTCACATTCTCACAACATCCATGGTGTGACTTATGTTTTAGGGTTGGTGATTCTTAACTGAATCGCTGTGTGTTGAATCCCTCTCTTGCCTGATCTAACCCTGACTCTGACTCTTGCAGGTGAGGGATGCAGACACCATGACAGAGTTCATCTGGGTGACCGGGGGGCTGTGTGTCTCCATCTTCCAGATCGTTCTGTATGTATCTCTGTGCTGCTGGTGTCGCAAACGCTGTCGCAAGAGACGGCGTCCTCAAGGTAAGAGACGTGGGTCATTCTCACACTCTGGATTGAGTGTTTATTCTCATGTGTCAGCGGCTCTTTACTGAAGCGAGTAATGGTCAATGTTTTATTCCTGTGCACCCAGAACTACTGCAACTTCACTGAACCTCTAATAAACTTCACTATAATAACTGTCTACTGCTTTTAGTGGTTCCATTTCTAATACTGTTCTTCCTTTTATACATTTGATTATGTGACTTTGAAAGAAATAAAAAAAAAGAATTCTAGAAGGAAAGTTGCTCTTTGGGTCTAGCTACAAAATGGCAAATAGTTTTAACTGTGTGTACCTGAGGCTGGAGTGGTAACATACCTCCCTGACCTGTACATCTTACCCCATATCCACCAGCCCTACTCTATTCTACTCTTTTCAACTCTACTCTACTCTACTCTACTCTACTCTACTCGACTCTCCCCTGATTGGGAGTGTTTCCACCTTTTAGTCCCTAAAGTGCTGCTGAAACTGAAAGCCATGGTTACCAAGGAATTTCCCCAGATTTATAGTGGATGTTTCACAGTAGAGTAGAGAAAAGATATACAGGCCATGAACTTAAATATGTTGCTCTATTTTGTTGTTTTAATATTAAAATATAATAATTATGTGTAAACATAAATTGTATACAGATGCACATTGCTAACCCGCTAGCTTACTGAAGCCCAATAGGGAAGTGTTTATGTTTTGGGTCCAACTCGCTCTGGCTCAGAATTGGCTTACATGTAAGATACGAACGGTCATTCTTCTAGCTCGGTGTCACACTTTATGCCTTAAATCTGTGGTTTAGTGCTTTCTGTGATCCTGGAGACAGGAATGATTCTGCTCCATGTCACTAATACTAGGGCTGCACGATATTGGAAATTAGAGCGATATTTGGTATGAGTGTTTAGTATTGCAATAATATTATTGTGATTATTTTTGTCTGTCACCTAAAATTGCAATCTGCATTGAAACGCAACAGACAAATAACAAAAAGTAAGCACAACATTAATGACATTCAAATGCATATATTTATATAGTGTTTGTTTGTTGTTCTTGTTGAATGTTGTGTATGTCTGTTTAAAAAAAAAAAAAAAAAATATATATATATATATATATATATATAGCATATGTTTTCAATATGGATATTTCACGCACCAATATCGCGATAACAATATTTTTTTGATATATTGTGCAGCCCTTACTAATACCATGTGTTTTTTTCAGATGTGGTGAATGTCATTTACGTCCCGGCTCCAGCAGCGCCTCCGGCTGAATATCAGCTACCAAACTACTATCCAGCAGCGATATTGCCTCCAAACGGCTTCCTGTCCGTCCCCTCTGCACCTCCGCCTTCGTACCAGGAAGCAAGTGAGTGCTGACAGGAGAGACATGTTCAAAAACACTTATATAAAAAATATATATATATATTATATATAATATAAAATAAACAAAGTGAATAGAGCTGAAATGATTCATCGAGTGTGGATTCATAGAAAACCAAAGAAACGAAGTTCAGGATGACAAGGGACAATAAAATCCGCACAAAACCCAATCTTAATGAAAGTCGTAGGTTCTCTGTCAGCTGAGGTCAAGCTGTTGTTGTTTACATTGAGTTCTATGTGACATTTTTCTGGGTAGCCCACGGGAATTTTGTCTCCAGTAGTGTATTGGTGGGACAGCTATAAGCTAGTAATACCCTATCCAGTTATTATAATAGTCCATGGTTAGCTTAGAATATCTTGCAACACTGACATCTAGTGGACAAATGTAATCATTGCAGCTTCTAATTCGTTTTTTTCCAAATGTGGTTCCGATTTCATACCGTTTCTCTAACTTTAGCATAATACACAAGCAAGTATAAAATACTGTATATTTTATTGCATTAAATAATATAATTATTGTCAATTTTAAGTGGTTTGTCATTTGATATTGTATACTTATAATTAACGGTATATAGGATTTTCCAAAATTGTCTATTCTACTCTACCCCTATTGGCAGTTTTTCCACTGGCCCCTGTACAGGTTCTTTAGTACAGCTTTTATTTATTACCATTTTCTCTCCACAACAAACAGAAAGGGATATTTCCGCGCATGTACCTTGAAGTAGTTTTAAATGCACGGAGAGACTGGTTTTACCACTCACTCCTCCGACACCACCCTGTGCTCTGTAGTCTCTGCTTTGGGCTGTGTCTGGATCAGGTCTCTGGTTTGGACTGGATCTAGATCAGGTCTCGGGGTTGGACTGGGTCTGGATCAGGTCTCGGGGTTGGACTGGGTCTGGATCAGGTCTATTGTAATCTCATGTTTGGACTGGGTCTAGATAAGATCTCTGGTATTTGACCTGGTTTAGTTTTAAAGTAGCTGTTATACTTGTCTTACAGCTTCCTCTGGACTTGGTCAGGAACTTCCACAAGGAGCGCCATCCTACCTCAGTCCTCCCCCGGACCAGAGCTCCCTGCAGCCCTATAACCCGGACTACTGTCTTCCCAGATATGACTTCAAATAAATAAGTGTACTGCTTGTTGTGTGTCTCCTGTACCAGATGCAATACTGTTTTAAGGTTTTAATGTTACAAGGTTTTCTGAAGCGTCCACTGGAAATCACTTTTGATGTATTGTTCAGGCATTACCACTAGAGGCCGCTGTTGTGCTTCATATTCTGTTACTATTGGTGCTGGATTTTATTCTATGTTCTATTTTTTCACCGCTGCTGAATCATTGTTAAATAAATAGTTGTATTTTATTATGTTACGTGTGTTCTTTTGAAGAAGTTGCAAGTCTTTACTCCACTCTATCCCACTGATTAAGATTAGACATCCTTTATGCGTACCCACTGTCAGGAAATTTCAGTTTTGGTGTGTTTCCACAGTTTAATCGGTACCAGGCCCTTCTTCAGTCCCTCTTTTGCAACCCAAATCCATTTTATGTATCCATCCCATGATCCATCCATCCATTTTTTTTCCTGCTTTATCCGTTGCTGGGTCGCAAAGGCAGCAGTGGGCAGCAGAGATTTCCCCCTGGCCAGGGGAAGACCCAGACTGTGTCAGGGAAATGTGCATAAATGTCCCTAATCATCACTGTCCTAAGACCCTCAAGCATTGGCAAGGAACCACTGAAAAAAAAACCCAGTGGGGAAGAAGTGAGAAAGGGAACCTGCTCCCAAGGACGGGCACACTTTAGAACCAGGACTGGAGCTAGGATCTATACTGTAGATCCAGGACTGAGGCTGTAGATCCAGGAAGCTTTCTACTTAAAACACAGAGCTACTACCTCAAGGATTTCTCTTATTCTGAGTGATTTTTCAGAACACCCTGACCCATGCTGTAAATCAGGGACCTTTGTACTACTACTGCATGATTAGATTTTGGTTCATAACGACAATATTGCGGAGTCCTTTTCCAATTTGTAACATTTTTCTTTTCCCATCAGCCGCAGCTTTCCTCTCCTCCTCCTCCTCCTCCGACCCCACATCTGGGTAACGTCCTGCTGTTGCATGCTCTCGTTTAATCCCATAATAACCAGAAGCACTTTCTCTCTTCCAATCCATTAATCAATACAGTATTAGTGCTGAGGCAGCGATCTGAGGCCACGCACTGAAAGGTGATGCGACCCCCTCCGTGTGAACACCGTGGGTTTAAAATAGCCCGTATCCTTGAGACGTGGCTCGGACGGCTAATGAGGCTGCTCCCTGAAGGGCCTCGCTGTCATGGCCGCTGCAGATGTGAGACGAAGTCAATAAACCAAGAAAAAGATGTGCAACATGTAGAATCTTCATTTTGTGTTGATTTTGTGCAATTAGACTCAAGGCCAAGACACAGAATCTTTTTGAGATCCAGTTTTAGATCTTTACTCGCCTTGTATAGTGGATTTTACTCAAATCCGCACTGTACACTGCAAAAACTGGGGCAATATTGGATTTTTTATGTGCCAGTCCTGAATCTACAGCCTCAGTCTACCAGCCTCCCTGAGTTTAATTACTTTTGCCCCCTGTGTTTCTGTGTGGTCCCTTGAGGGTCTAAGGACAGTGATAATCCAGGACATGTCCGCACATTTATCAAACTTTCTGGACAGTGGTCGTCCTACTCCCTATTGACTAATGGCTTTTATGTGTTTTTTATTATTGCATTTCCTGTTTCCAACTGTTTGAGTATCTGTTCTGTTGTTGGTGAACTTCCCTATTGGTCTTCATTGAGCTTGAGGGTCATCATTGTCCATGTACAGTCAATGGGAACAGCTTCCACTATCATTCATAAGCGTCAGAGCCTCATCTCCCACCTTTTGAGTTGATATTTTTTGTTCAAAGAGGGAAAATTACAAAAAAATGATCCCAACATGAAGATATTACACAAAAATCACACTACTCTTATCAACTCATAGTTTTATGGATGGTAACCAATAGCAACAGCATTTGTCCTTTGTTCTCTGAGCTCAGGCCTTCTCTTGGACCCTGTTTAACCCTCTCTCCTTCATGAAGCGGTGTGTGGAGCTCTCTGCAGAAGCTGGTCACATGAGGAGGACAGTCGTTCACTTCTGACACTAATCAGATTAATTCACTTCTTTCTCTGATCTAAATTTTTCTGTTCAAACTTTTATTATGAACGCTACAATCTAATCTATTCACATACTTGAATCTTCTTTTTACGTTAATTATTTAGGGAATAAAGGACATATTTTGTTTGACTTATCCTGAGAATAATTTGACGTTTATGACCTCAAAATCTCTCATTTATATAATCCTCTATTTATGAAAGTTGTCCTTATTTGACGAGAAAGCGACAGAAAAAAGCAACAAATGTTTCCTTGTGCCAAGTAAAAAGAGAATTACAAAGAGATGGCTGACTTCTGCACAACCTGTCCACTTGATGGCTGGATTGACATAGTTTTTGAGTTAACCATTACAAACATAAAAAAAAAGATTTGATTGCATCTGGAACTAATGGATAAATTACATTACTCAAGCAGACTTTGTGAGCAGTAACAATTATACCTTTCACCTTTTGTACATCACTTTCACTTTTTATTTAATATCTTGGTTTGTTTAATATGAGCTCAAGGGATCTATATACAAATGTTGAGGTTTGTTGAGGGGGAAATTAGCCCTATACTTTAATATTCTGTATGACGATGAAGGAAACTCTAGTATCATCTTTTTTGTGTTGTTTCAAAAATAAAATATGAATTGATAAAACAAAAATGGCCAAAAAATAATCTCTCAATGCAGCATTCTTTATACAGGACTCTGTATAAAGAAAGCCCTGCAAGCAATGTATGTGTTTGTGCTACCTCAGAGCGCCCCCTGTGGTGCAAGGAGGGATGTGGACACAGCACCTGTTCTCTCTGGAGCAGGTGTCAAACGCAAGACCCTTTCTGTGGCCCATGGAATGATTTTCACTTATGATAAACTTCGTCTGTTAGATTTCATTTTAAACCTGATTTTTCAGTAAAATTCTGGGTTGTGGGGGTGACAATCAGAGCTGCCACCCAATTCTCAGAGTACCAGCCCCTCACTGATCCTCTTACAGGCCATGAGACCAGAGGAGAAGTCTTTTCTATTGTAAAACTAATAGTCTATTGTAAAATTTGATTACAATATATTATATAAATTAAAGTAAAGTAATCTTTATTTATATACCGCCTTTTCACTGTAGATAAGATAGCTGAGTGGATAGCACTCTCGCCTCTCAGCAAGAAGGTCCTGGCTTCGAATCCTGGCCGGACCAGGGCCTTTCTGAGTGGAGTTTGCATGTTCTCCCCATGTCTGCGTAGGTTTCCTCCGGGTACTCCGGTTTCCCCTACCACTAAAAATATGTACAATAGATCTGGCATGCGCCTCCTGTTCGGCGACCCCGCTCCCATCTCTGTGTGGAGTGAGAGACAAATGCCCAAAAATAACAATTGTAAACCGCTTTGTGACACTGGTCTGTGAAAGGCGGTATATAAATAAAGCTTACTTATTTAGATCAGAGTCTCAAAGCAGTTTACAATTGTTGTTTTGGGCATTTGTCTCTCACTCCACACAGAGGAGCAGGGTCGCCAGTACAGGGGGCGCATGCCAAATCTATTGTCCATGTTTTTAGTGGTAGGGAAAACCGAAGTACCCGGAGGAAACCTATGCAGACACAGGGAGAACATGCAAACTCCACTCAGAAAAGCCCTGGTCCAACCGGGATTCGAACCCAGGACCTTCTTGCTGAGAGGCAAAAGTGCTAGCCACTCAGCCACCGTGCCGCCCATGATATAATATATCCAGCAGTGAAATCAGTGGGAATAGAATCATTTACAGATCCCGTTGCGAATGGGCTGCAATTAAGTGTAAGATAGATATATAGGGCGGTCATTTGGAAAATAAAGAGATCCCCAGGTAATACTGATCCCATGAGAATAGAGCTTTAGTTTGGACACTGCTGCTGTAGAGAGACTTTTCGGGCCCAATATTCCCAGAGCTGTTGTCCTGCAGTATGTGTGGTTTATGGCTGATCACTGTGGAGGTCGCAGCTGCCCCAGTTTTGCTGAATAAACCAGTCAAGATCCTTAAAGCGGGTGAGACTTCCACCTGTCCACCTTCCACTCCAGGGGCGGCGTTGACTTGGATTGACATATTTAAACTTGATGGACGATGGCAGTGGTCAAATCAAAGCTTTTAAAAAAACAGAGACCCAAGCATCAATCCCTATGGTGCTCCAGACCGCAAAGTGTACATGTCCTATCAAACTGCTCTTTTGACTAAAATGCTGTTATATTGAACAGTTTTTGTTAAACATTTCAGATTTCTGGTCTCTCTCTTTTTGAAATTTCTCTGGTCTCTCTCTGCTTGAATGGGTTTGAATCCACCTCTAGACAGGACTTTTCTGGGTGGAGTTTGCATGTTCTCCCCGTGGTTTCCTCTACCACTACAGCATGAACAATAGATCTGCATGTGGTGAGTGAGAGTGGAGGTGATGCTCAGAGGCTTCCATGCACCAAAGTGTGTGAGACCTTGTTTTATGGAATGATCTATTAAAATAAATATAACTCACTTTAATCTTATTTATGTTTTGGTTTGTGCAACAGGCTGAACTACATGGTATGTTTAACACAGTCCAGTCTTCAGAGCTGCCACAGGTCTTAGATAGACTTTCATGGGTCGCTGTGCGTTTAGAGCTTTTGTTTTCTGAGCTAATTCCAGATTACTGCCACCTCCACTGTTCGACCACAGAACAGAGAGCACAGAGCACAGAGCAGAGAGCATAGAGCATAAAGCATAGAGCACAGAGCAGAGACCACAGAGACCACAGAGACCACAGAGCTCAGAACAGAACCCGGTGTGCTCTGCTTCAACACTAAAGGAGATTATCAACGACATACTGTAAAAGTAAGTTACCAAACCTAATCTTAAAATAAATCCCCAAATACTGTGCTACCAATATGAAGGCATGTTGAAGACTGCAGGTAGAGCAGGGTTATCTGCTGCTAACACAAAGTAGCCATTGAGGCACATTCATAGTGTCATTCAGCCAACTTCAGCTCCACCAATAGGTTAAGCGGTTCCTCTGTCCTCCTGTTGCTGCATGACACTAGCATCTGTCAGTCACACTCAGCTGCAGCGCCACATTGCCAATCCTCACCCGGCAGCATGGCCTCGCCCTTCATTAAGCCTTCAGATTGTACAGGTGGCTTTCATTCATGCAGCAACCCTCCTCCTCCCCATCACCGCTTCGTCAGCCGGACCAACTCTTTACTTTCACCCTTCTCCTCGATCCCATCACCAAATCTTAACCACATTTCTCATACAGCAGCAATAAATGTAATCTCGCAAATATAATCTTCAGAGTTGTATGTGCTGTTTTGCCAACCAGTATACATTTATGATAAACCCCCTGATTTGTCTGTTTGAGACTCTCCCATTTGAAATACAGTTTGTGTTGTCTGCTCCTGCAGTAGGGCGCCCTCTCACTAAATCCCTAAATCAGGAATAAAATCTTTTTGACAAATGTATGGAGATATCTGTTTTTGTAAATTAACTCATCAGTTGGAAACATATGTATATATTTGTGCCTGAAAAACCTTTAGTTGCTAAATAAATTCTAAATTGGTCAAGAGTTTCTGCTGAAAAATGAATATGAATGAAAATATATCTTTTGTTTGTTTTGTTTTTCTGAATATTTATCAGAACACAGTGTGGCGCCTCTCTCCTCTCCCACTCTCTCCTCTCTCTCCTCTATTCTCTATATTCCAAATGCTCTGAAGTATCTTGACAACCCCGGCTGGTATTTTGGCATGTGTCCCTTGAGTGTTGATGTCAGCTGAGATTGGACCATAGCAGAGAGAGAGAGAGAGAGAGAGAGAGAGAGAGAGAGAGAGAGAGAGAGAGAGAGAGAGAGAGAGAGAGAGAGAGAGAGAGAGAGAGAGAGAGAGAGAGAGAGAGAGAGAGAGAGAGAGAGAGAGAGAGAGAGAGAGAGAGAGAGAGAGAGAGAGAGAGAGAGAGAGAGAGAGGAGGAGTGAGAGAGAGAGGGGGGGGAGAGAGAGACAGAGAGAGAGGAGAGAGAGAGAGTGAGAGAGAGAGGGAGGGGGTAGAGAGACAGAGAGAGACAGTGAGAGAGAGAGAGAGAGCTAGAGTGACAGTGAGAGAGAGACATAGAAGAGTGGATGGGGCTCTGCTGGGATTAAGGGGTGGAGCTGCCTATTCAAAGCACTTGTCCCATGCCTCTCTCTCTCTCCCTCTCCCCTTCTCTCTCTCTCTCTCTCTCCGGGTTTAGACTGCAGGAGGGGGGGAGGCAGGCACATGCACATTGTCGCCACATTTCTCAGAGTAGAGCCCTGCAGACTGACAGCAGCAAACGGGACACTGGAGCTCGCTGTGCGTAAAAAAGCGGTGCGTGGATTTTTAGATTTCTTCCCAAAAGCACTGGGTTAAACTCGCTCAAAAAGGACCACACTCCCCCCCCCCCCCCTCGCTATGGCAGCCCCCACGGCTCAACCTGCCTCATCTCTCCAGTGGACTAGACTTTTCTTTTGGGCTTTTCTGAGTCAGGTGCAAAGCTTTAATCTGGACACGGACCATGCGCTGCATAAATTGGGGGACCGAGGGACATTCTTTGGGTTCTCTCTCGCACTCCATCAGCAGGTCACCCCGGATCCACAGAGCTGGTGAGTGTCTTGGCTTGCGGGTTTCTCAGTCTGCTGTTGCTTTGCTGGATACAATATATGTCTAAAAAAATCCGAATCTAGAATGAGTTATGCAACCTCATTTAACATTTTGCAGGAATTGGTAAAATATGATTCCTATTCTGCTATTGGGCGTGTGTTTTGGTAATGCGCATAAGCATTTATCAGTATGTATAGAACAGAGGCTCAGAATTATGTTTCTGTGGATTTAAACCAGTAGAAGTTTCAAAAAGCTTAGACTTATCAAAGCTTTGGGTCAGAAAGAGAGTCCAGAGAGAGTCCAGAGAGAGTCCAGAGAGAGTCCAGAGAGAGTCCAGAGAGAGACCAGAGAGAGACCAGAGAGAGACCAGAGAGAGTCCAGAAAAGAGTCCAGAGAGAGACCAGAGATAGACCAGAGAGAGGAGGAATAGAGAGACCAGGGAGTCTAGAGAGTCCAGTGGAGAGACCAGAGAGAGAGCAGAGAGATAGACCAGAGAGAAAGGTCACCCCGAATCTAGAATAAAATGTGCAAACCCATTTAATCTGTGCAAAATTGGTGCTTAAATACTATCCCTATTCTACTGGCGTTGCTTTTGGTGTGTTTTGGTAATGCTAATAAGCCTTTATCATTTTGTATTTAGCACAGGCTCAAAGTTTTGTTACTGTGTATTTAAACCAGTAAGTTTCAAAGTTTACACATTGAAGCTTTGGACCAGAGAGAGACAGAGAGACGAGATAGAGAGATCAGAGAGAGGGATGGATTGCATTAATGACTGGACTGGGAGATATAGACAGAGATATGTTGAAAATGTTGTATATGTATCGCCTTAAGAACACTGCAAGGAGAGATGTTTTTAAGGAGCTGGAACTTGCAGAAATACATTGATATTTCAGAACTTTCCACTTTGATTTATAGTCCATTCCCGTGAGTGGCACTTGCGCGTCACCCCTGGCATTTTTGGGCAGCTATCAGCACTGAGATGGATTGCCACAATATTATCTGAATATTGTACTAGTTGTAAATGTATGCATACAGTATTTGATTCATTGTTTTCTATGTAATATATTTAATTCAGATATTAAAGAAAATAAGCTTTTAACTAGGTACAAAAAGGTATGTATCTGCAGTTATCCTTCTATGTTAGTGAGATAGGGTAGCAGCATGCCTTCAACTCAGACCAAAAAGAGACCAGAGAGCGATACCAGAGAGAGACTAGAGAGAGAGAGACCGGAGAGAGAGAGACCAGAGAGAGAGAGACCAGACAAAGACCAGAGAGAGAGAGACCAGAGACCGAGACCAGAGAGAGACCAGAGAGAGATACCAGAGAGAGACTAGAGAGAGAGACCAGACAAAGACCAGAGAGAGAGAGACCAGAGACCGAGACCAGAGAGAGACCAGAGAGAGATACCAGAGAGAGACTAGAGAGAGAGACCGGAGAGAGAGAGACCAGAGAGAGAGAGACTAGACAAAGACCAGAGAGAGAGAGACCAGAGACCGAGACCAGAGAGAGACCAGAGAGAGATACCAGCGAGAGACTACGAGAGACTAGAGAGAGAGAGAGAGAGAGAGCAGAGAGGGATCAGAGAAAGACCAGAGCGAGAGACCAGAGAGAAAAGCCATTGGACCATAGGGAGCGGGATGACCACTGTCCAGAAATGCTAATGTCCCAGATCACCACTGTCCTTATACCCTCTCGCATCCTGAGAGAACCACTCAGAAACACAGTACCTTCAAAATAATTAAATCTAGCAGATCTAACTGGTACCTTTTCCTCTGACAGTAGGAGAGCTCGTGTGTGGCGCTGCTCCCTCCTCGGGCCACTGTATAACTGTCGGGTGATTGTTTACCATCAGCTGTTGTGAGACTAGAATATACATCAGCCCTGATCCCTCAAAGGGCATAAATAAGTGATGTCATGATTCCGCTGCTTGTAAATTTACTATCTGGAAAAAGGAAGTGGCCTGAGTTTACCTTCACTGCAGAGTTTAATATTTATGAGGAGATCAGAGAGGGATGCGTCTGTAGTCGGCCGGATAGTGACGAGGCAAAGATTGGCTGCTGAGTTTCAAAGTCAAACACATCTATTTGTCATGGTGTGGATTTTGTTATTTTGGACTTTAGTTTTATTTTGATATCTGTTCTCTGTGCTTTGGCTTTAGTTTGACTTTGACGTCCTGTTTCCCCTGTCTTGATTGTCTGCCCCGCCCTAATGTGTTTCACCAGTGTCTCTCTGTGTCTATATGTACCCTGTGCTCCTCTCCTCTTGTTGCTGGTCCATTGTATTGTCAACTTCTGTTCTGTCATGTTCCTGATTTTGTGTTCCTGGTTCTGTATTTTGGATTTTGAGTTTCGTTTTCACCTGGACATTTGTTTTATTAAATCATTATATTTTTGTGTTCCTGCATTTTGGGTCCTCACTCAGCTCACCCCGTGACACTATTATTGTATTTTCAATTTAAATGTGTTCTTGTGGTTCAAAGTTCAACTTTATTGTCCTCAAAGGGAAATTAGTCTTAGGCTCAAATCAAATTCAGACTCTGAAGGAGTCATGGGGGGGGGGGGGCAGTGTTTCAGATTTATGCAGCTAAAATCTGGAACAGTCTTCCTGAAAGTGTGTGACATGTTCATAGCCAGGTTAAAAAGAAAGAGTTCTGTTTCACTGCAACAACTGAAGTATTGTATTATCACTCTTTGTAATGTGCTGTGAATATTTATGTCTTTGAGTTGCCATGGATCATCTCTGTCTTTGACAGTGCATCTCTCAGAAACTCAGTGAGAAAAATTGGAGAAACCCATGAGAGGCCCCTATTGAGAGAGGGATCTACTCTCACAAATGAATAGGCTGTAGATCCAGGACGGAGGTTCTAGATCCAGGACTGAAGCAAGTTCTACTGAATTACCACATGTTTGGGTTCCGCCAGCTGTTGTGAATGTGGTCAGTCTGACTGAAAGATCAGACTGGGATGATGCAAAAACAGTAGGAACGGAGGAACAAACACAAAAGATGGACACTAGAGGCGATTGAAAACAGGAAGCAGGGCATGGACCATCAACAGAGACGAGGGGGCGTTCACCTTGACTCACTTCTCCAGAGATCTCAGCACAGTCTCAGTCTGAGGGATCAACTTCTCAAAAACAAAAGTTTATCCCTCAGCCTTTATTTAACCAGGATGACCCAGTGGTATTCAAAGATCTGTTTCAAATTGTGTCCTGGCCAAGAGGCCTTCATGACACCACCCTCAAAACCATATTTACCATGCGTTTGTTGTTTAACAACAAACAATAAAATCACTTGGAAAAGTATTGTTTGTCTAATTTTGCAGCAAAACAAAACTGACACAGTAGATTCATTGGGAAATACACCTAAAGCTTCATGCAGACGATCAAAAAGATAAAACACGCAAAAAGAGAGAGAGATCAGAGAGAGACCAGAGAGAAACCAGAGGGAGACCAGAGGGAGACCAGGGAAAGACCAGAAACCAGAGGGAGACCAGAGAGAGACTGGAGAGAGAAACCAGAGGGAGACCAGAGAGAGACCAGAGGGAGAGATATCAGAGAGAGACCAGAGAGAGAGAGAGAGAGATCAGGGAGAAACCAGAGGGAGACCAGAGGGAGACCAGAGGGAGACCAGAGGGAGACCAGAGAGAGACCAGAGATAGACTGAAGAGAGAAACTAGAGAGAGAGAGAGAGACTAGAGATCAGGGAGAAACCAGAGAGAGACCAGAGAGAGAAGAGAAACAGACCAGATCACAAAAAATCTCATTATCACAAAAAAAAAAAGATGTTTTTCCTGTACAGTTTTAGCTGTGTATTTACAATGTGTCCATCACTGGCTCCATATTTAACCCTTGGCTCAGCTTACCCTCTCACCGTCCCCTCGACGCCTGCTCTCTCTGGCGGGATGACCTCAGCAGACTGTCACCCGCTAAAACCTGCCCCTGGACTCTGCATTCCTGGAACTACTGCCTCAGATATGAACATTTTGTGAATCAAAGTGGATCTACTACTCCAACAGTCAAACGCCAGAACCCAGTCAGTAACAGGATGTGCTGATGTTGGAGAGTGCTGGGAATGCATTTGGTGATTAATGCTTCTTTCAGTAAGATGTGATATCACTATAGCAAGGCAGGTTTATTTGTATAGCTCAGTTCATACACAAGACAAGTCAAAGTGCTGAAGAAAACCAGATAAAACACAAGTCATAAATAACCATAATACATTAAAAAGAGTGATGAAAGAGTGAATCCTTCGACAATCCTTGTTGTTGCAGCAAATCAGTATGCTTTTTAATGTTAACAGCAGAAGCCTGTCTCACATTTTCAGGAAGACTGTTCCAGATTTTTGCTGCAGAAATTTTTAGTCCTGAATTTGGGAACCAGCAGGAGGCCCGTCCCTGTGCTCCTCAGAGTTGGTTCATATGGCAATAACATGTCACAGATGTACTTTGAGCCACAGGAAGCCAGTGCAGAGACCTGAGACCAGGACTAATCTGAGAGGACTTCAGGACAGAGACCTGAGACCAGGACTAATGTGAGAGGACTTCAGGACAGAGACCTGAGACCAGGACTAATGTGAGAGGACTTCAATCAGGACAGAGACCTGAGACCAGGACTAATGTGAGAGGACTTCAGGACAGAGACCTGAGACCAGGACTAATGTGAGAGGACTTCAATCAGGACAGAGACCTGAGACCAGGACTAATGTGAGAGGACTTCAATCAGGACAGAGACCTGAGACCAGGACTAATCAGAGAGGACTTCAGGACAGAGACCTGAGACCAGGACTAATCTGAGAGGACTTCAGGACAGAGACCTGAGACCAGGACTTATCTGAGAGGACTTCAGGACAGAGACCTGAGACCAGGACTAATGTGAGAGGACTTCAGGACAGAGACTTGAGACCAGGACTAATGTGAGAGGACTGCAATCAGGACAGAGACCTGAGACCAGGACTAATCAGAGAGGACTTCAGGACAGAGACCTGAGACCAGGACTAATCTGA